AACCTCCTTCCTGAGGGGAGTGGGGCAAAAAGTGTGTGTGCTGGGTGAGTGTGGTCCTTCATGATGCAGGTGGCCCTCTTCCTGCATCTGGAGGTGTAGATGTCTTTGATGGTGGGGAGGCTGATTCCAACAGATTTCTGTGCAGCCTTCACCACTCTCTGCAAAGCTGGTTAACAAAACTAGCTCAGACTCAGAATTATATTTTGTTAAAGTGATCTGTAAAGAAGTACTTTGTATCTTACTGTGAATGCATGTTGTATCAGCAGCATAGTCCTCGTGTGCTTTCTCTGTTGTCAGCCTTTGGTTTGAGCCCGACATTAATAGAGTGTGTCTGAGATCTTCCAGGGCAGCCACAGATGATGCACATCCGTCCTTTAAGTTGTCTCATACACACACCACACACACGTGCACACACACAACTTCATCTTTTCATTATTTGTTGTCTGTCCCTGCAGTCCTAAAGTGTGACGTGGAGTGTAACGCTGCAGTCCTCCTGCTTAATGTCAGGCGTAATACCAATTTACTGAAACTCACAATCTGCTGGGGGCTCTGAAAAATGTGGCCATAGCAGAAGTCTCTGGGCGAAACAAAAACCTGCACTGGCATCATGTGAAACCTGTGCTTAGGCTTGGTGAAAATGGTGCACAACTACCTCTCCAAACATTATGGAAACATTCCATGGAACAAAACACGCATTTACTTTCAGTTGCTATTTTAAGGATGTTGTTGCTTCACACAACAGAGTATAAAGGCAATTAAATCAGCCAGCAGCCAATGAATGCATTTCTGTCTCTGTTTTTCAGGGATTTGAGTGAAAATGTCATCCAGGCTATTCCAAGGAGAGCTTTTAGAGGCGCCACAGATCTCAAAAATCTGTAAGTGAAATGAAAAGAGACGGTTGGTTTTCTACTCGCTCTAAAGGTCCTGCATGCAGCCGACGGACTGCAATCAGACAAAACACTTTCTAACCCTGTGTGGACAATGGTTTACTTCTAGAAAGTCACATGAAGTTAGTTCAAACAACTGAGGTGCCATGCTGAATTAAAAGACAACAAGCTTCCAGCGAGTTGTGTGAAGAAACGTTCAGGTTCGTTACATCCAGTGATGCTCGACAGTTTGAACTCTTTATCATTTTATTTATTTCTGCATCAATATGACATAAAACATCATCAGATGTTCACACAACTCCTAAAACTAGATGAAGAGAACCCAGTTCAACAAATGAGACAAAACATATTATACTTAATAATTTATTTATTGAGGAAAATGATCCGATGTTACATATTAGTGAGTGGTAAAAGTATGTGAACCT